GAAGTACAAGATCAAGGTGTTCGCATAGATGTGTTCTACTGAGGGCCTTCTTCCAGGTTGCAGACTGTTGCTGTCTTCTCCTTATATTCCTTATATACTCATATGGCATTAAAAAGGTAAGAGATTTCTCTAAAGTTGTTTTTATAAGGACAATAATACCATTTCTGAGGGTTCCACCTTCATGACCCAATTAGCTCCCAAAAGTCCCACTTCCTAATGCCATCCCATTGAGGGTTAGAAATTCAACATATGAATTTGGTAGGGAAAGAGGGAGGCATAAAAATATTCAGTTTATAACACTGAACTTAGAATTATTTCTGGTGCTTTTCATTCGATATCATGCAGATATTTTATGTTCTGAGCTACACATTTCGATATAAAAAATACATGGTTCTCTCTTTCATGAGAAATAATTAAAGTTTACATACACAAATCCTTTTTGTTACATGACTGACTAAATTGGAGAGCACCCAATGGAAAAACAATTTCTATATCTCTATATCACAACTGAGGGCAATTCTTACATTACATGCAAACATTGATTTAAAAAATCTAATTGCAATATTTGGGTTATATCCACATTATTTATATAAATTCTGACTGGGAGAAAAAAGTAGAATGCATTCTAAACTACATAGTGATAGTGTATATGATCCCAAGCCAATCCTCAAATCTTATCAGTTCTTCAGTTCTCATCTCAATTCTATCTTCCTCAGCTTTTCACAGTTATTCCTGGGCATCTGTATCCTTCTCTTTTTCTATTCCATAGATAGCATTTTACAAATATCAATACTATGAATTTGGAAATCTGATATTTTCCATCTGTCACATTTTTATGTACTACCATGTGTTCTCAAGTTGTTTCCTGCTCAATCCATTTCTAAAGTTGTTAACTTCTGTATCAGTCATGATTCTTTCAACTACCTCAGCAAGTTCCAATTAGTCCATTATTTTTTTCAATTCTATCTCATATGTAGGTGATCTTCTTGACACATTGGTGTGTGCTCCTCATAAAAGGATGAGTTTGTCCCTTTTTTTCTTGCTCTCTCTCTAGTTGATTCTCTCTTGCTCTTCTGCCACTGGCCATGGGATGATGCAACATAGAACCCCTCACCAGATGCAGGAGCCATGCTCTTGGAATTTCCAGCCTTCATTACCTGTGATGGTTAAGATTATTTGTCCACTTGGATAGCTTCTGTACTCAGGTACTTAAACATGAGTTTAGATGTTGCTGTGAAGTTATTAATATTTCAAAAGTTTCCACTTATTTCCAAAGACACGTAGGTCAGAACTTTTTCCTTCATTTCCTTCAGTGATGTCGATTCATACATTTGTAATGCATTTTTGCTTTGACATTTTCTGTATTCCATCAGTTCAGCATGGTTGGGAAGGCCTCGGGAAATTTACAATTGTGGCAGAAGTGGAGTCAAAAACGTCCTTTACATAGCAGCAGCCGAAAAATCATTTTTTAATTTAATTAATTTGTTTATTTAGAGAAAGGGTCTTGCTCTGTGGCCCAGGCTGGAGTGCAGTGGCATGAATATGGCTCACTGCAGCCTTGACCTCCCAGGCTCAGGTGATCCTCCCACCTCAGCCTCCTGAGTAGCTGGGACCACAGATGCATACCACCACATTTGGCTAGTTTTCTGTATTTTGTTGTAGAGACAGGGTTTCACCATGTTTCCCAGACTGGTCTCAAACTCCTGGGCTCAAGTGATCTGCCCACCTTGGCCTTCCAGAGTGCTAGAATTATAGGTGTGAGCCATTGAACCTGGCCAAAATAATTTATTTTTGTATTGTATGGTTTATTTTTTCTTCTTCTTGGTTCATAAACAGAGTTTGATTAGAGAAAACAGCAAATCTAAGACCCTGGGTATCCTAAGTCATTCATCTCTGCTTTGAATTCGGGCAATTCTCAAATTCAATTCAACAAACATTCATGCATTAATTGCGCATTTATTATGTCCTGTGCACTCTGCTAGTTCAGAGTATATAAGTCAAAGAGCTTGTTCTCAGGTAGTTTAGTGTCCAGGCAGAAAGGGGTATACATAGCAAATATTATACTAGTCACCTCTAAATCATATTCTCACTGGCCTAAAAATAAAGGGAAACTAGAAAAGGGAGAATTTACTCTATTGGAGAGATCAAAAAAGGGTTCAGAAATAAGGTGACAAGTTGGTTCAGCCAAGTCAATCGAAGAATAAACGAGGCCCAATACATAGAGATATTATAAATTAAGGGACATTTTAGAATTTAAAATGAGAAATTAGAGGTATTTAGAATGCTCTTGCCACCCTTTCTGGTGGTGTCACTGCACTTTATACCTGTCTCTTCTCTGGCAGGTTGTCTTCTAAGAGATTTCACTCCAGGTGTGTCACTTGGGACAGATCCTGCTATCCCTTATGGCACGATCACAGCCATATCACCTGCGAAATTCTCACCACCAAGGCGAGCACTCAGCACACAGTAGACAAAGTTTCTCAAGTAATGAATGGACTGAAGAGCTTAATAGCACTTTGTAAAGTAAATCAAACTTTCTAATGTGTCTCTTTTTGCAAGTTGAGTCTTTCGGATTTTGAGCCCCCAGAGGGTCAGTATCTGCCATGGAGTCCATTTCCAGTGGCTTCCCCATGGTGTCATGTTTAGCTGGGTCAACTACATGGAGGATGAGGCCAATACAGACCCCTAGTGACCGTGGTTTTCTTGTCACTGTTCCCACCTCCATGCTAAGATCCTCACTGATCCTGAAGGAGTTCACACACATTCATACATTCCTCTCAAGGTGTCTTGAAGCTATGGAAGGAACATCTCCTTTTCTCTACATGTATCTTGCTGGGTAGACTTGCCCCACTGTCATCACTGAGCAGAGCCAAGAGAGACCAAAACCTCAGGTTTTAGATTATACACAACCCCTCTCCAAGATGCACAAAGATGCTAGTATGGACACACAACACACAACAGCAAAGATGCCAGAGAAGACCACAGAAATTAGCTGGGGTGTGAAATTTAATGGGAAAAATACATCTGAAATGGGCAAACAGTGAAATGAAGATAGTCAAAACATTCATCATTGCTCTGGGCAAACTCACCTTCTGTCACTTCACATGAGACAGACACTAGAATTTGCTTATAGTTTTTTACTTCAGTACTCTTATTTATGCCTAAGTTTATTTTTTGCTTCCCAGGTAATTAGCATTTTACCCTTAAATATCTGACTCTAAATTTTACCTTCTTCTTAAGTGTTTGTTAACTTTTTATGACATTTTATTATCCAGTAATATAAGCATCATATTATAGTGGAAGATAATGGGAGAATGATATTTAAGCTTCCAGAAACTGTATTTTCTAGTTACAGATATTATAGAAAATGTATCTTTTCCATTTAAGGCAAAGAGTGGTGGTGATAGCTACAATATAAATTATATAATTCATGTATAATATTTAAGTATTAATTTCAAATTAGCACAAAGAGAAGATTTAGAATATTCACAGCACCAAGAAAGGATAAATGTGTGAGGTGATAGATATACCAGTTATCCTATGCATCACACATCCTATGCAAATATCAAAGTATCACATGTATCCCATAAATATGTAAAACTATTATATATTAGTGAGAAAAAATTAAGAAAATCCATTGGGTAAGGCAAACAAAAAGTCTACTTTATTCTGGCACAATCTTACCGCTAGAAACTTCATGAGTATTCTATAGAACAGCATTGGCCTTACTGGGCGGCTTGTCAGAAACACAAATTCTCAGGCCCACTTTAGACCAGTGAATCAGAATCTACATTTCAACAAACTCCCCAGGTGATTTGTGCCACACTGAAGTTTTAGAAGCATTAGGCAACCAATCCTAGGGCTCCATGAAGAGAAATTATTCCATGAACTTTTCAGATGAGTTTCCTTTCAAAGATCACACATGCTAACTATTTTCTATATGTTGCCTAAACGTACATTAAGAAACAATCCTGGAATTCGGTAACCTCCCTAGTTTTCATCTTATAGCCAATGCAGTGGTGCCATGTGTTATGAACTGTCTCCATCGCCTCCTGCAGGCATGTGAGAAGGGGAGAAAGAAGGAGCCACTGACTTGAATTTAAGAGTTATACATGAGAGAGACAAGTGCTTTGCATTGTATGATGGGGAATTCAACTCTGCTGTCACCACGATGCTTTATTCTCTAAGGGTTGTCTTAGGCTCCAAGCAACAGAGTCATTTGTATTTTTATTTTTACTGTTTTGAGATGGAGTCTGGTGCTGTTGCCCAGGCTGGAGTGCAATGGCATGATCTCAGCTCACTGCAACCTTCGCCACCCAGGTTCAAGCGATTCTACTGACTCAGCCTCCCGAATAGCTGGGATTACAGGCACCTGCCACCACACCCAGCTAATTTTTGTATTTTTAGTAGAGATGGGGTTTCACCATGTTGGACAGGCTGGTCTCGAACTCCTGACCTCAGGTGATCCACCCACCTTGGCCTCCCAAAGTGCTGGGATTATAGGCATGAGCCACCATGCCTGGCCCAACAGAGTCATTTTTATAAAGGAAAACCCCCATCGCTCTACCCACAAACTTTTGTGTTTTACATACCAAGTGAGTTAGAGGAATTAGGCATTTCTTTGCTTAAGTTTATTCACTGTTAATCTTCCAAATGTGTCACCTTGAGAAGCTAAGGAGAGGCTGAGTCTCAGGCACCTGAAATGCGGTTGCTGGTCAGTAAGCCCCACCAATTTATTGACAACCAGAGGAAAAGGTGCCATGGTCTCCTTTTCTAAACTTGAGTTTCATAAAGACAAGAAACCCATTCATTGCTTCAAAAGCAAGTATTTCCTCACAGTGATCCTGTTTGTGTTGAACAGAGCCTACTTAAGACATTGATGGTGACACTGATGCTGACAGCAATGACAAGAATGCCTGCTGGGGCAATGACAAGATGGAGATGTGTGGAAAAGGACTCAGCTATTTCAACTCTTTAGGTGACAAAGGAAGAGGACATACCCAGGCTGCATCCCAGACATCCTTCTTCACAAGGGACACATTCTTCATAGTCTGGGTCTTGGACTTCACCTACACAGAAAGAGAAGTGAAAAACACAACTCATTTCCATTGAGTGGAGACACGTGAATTGCTATAAAAATATGTTCTTGTGTAGCTTCTTTTAAAGTAAATCATAGAGCAATTATGAAGCCCAAAACCATCCTTGAGGATATATGTGGTTTCTACTTTTTAATCTCCTTCTATTAATTGAATAGATTAAATCAGCTTGATTGGGTACAAAGAGAACCAGGTTGGACCATATGCCATGCAGCTAGTTTTGAAGTCAAGCTTGGTGATTTTATTTATTAAAGAAACCAGTTTTGCTTCTGGGAAAATGGAATTGGGTATGTAAATGAACACGTTCCCTTCCTCTTTTTATCTGTCCTACTAAACACTTTTTAAAAAGTTTAAAACCTTTTACTACACTCATAAACATTAAGGAGAGACAGAATTGAGTGTCTTAATTATTCTAAAAATGTCTTGGAGCTCTCTTCAGCACCAGACCAGGCATAATTCTCATACAGAGCAGAGCAATAACAGTCCGTGGCATTCTTACATAGAAGAGAACCGAAACTATAAGTGTTGTTTTTTAATTTCCTTCTTCCCATAAAAGATAAGAAATTGGGCAATAACAATAACACATACGATTCACAGACCATTTTAATATTTTCAAGTAGTTTTAGGCTGATCCTCACTGGCTTCTCAAAGCCACTCTGTCTTGATGCTCTGCTCTTCCTTTGACAGATGAAGACAACAAGGCATGGGCAAGTTAGGTGAGTTTTGCCCAGGGTCTCGTGTCTAGTAATTGGGAAGGAGAAAACTATTGACCCAGACTTTTGGATTCTAATCTTATTTTCTCTCCCCTATATCCTGTCCACAATCCCCCCACCTGCCAAGATCATTTTCTTTTCTTTTTTCTTTGTTTTTGAGATGGAGTCTTGCTCTGTCTCCCAGGTTGGAGTGCAGTGGCACGATCTCGGATCACTGCAAGCTCTGCCTTCTGGGTTCAAGCCATTCTCCTGCCTCAACCTCCTGTGAAGCTGGGATTATAGGCATGCAACACCACGCCCGGCTAATTTTTGTATGTTTAGTAGAGACAGAGTTTCACCATGTTCCCCAGGCTGGTCTCGAACTCCTGGCCTCAAGTGATCCACCTGCCTTGGCCTCCCAAAGTGCTGGGATTAAAGCACGAGCCACTGCACCTGGCCAATTTTCTATACACTTAGGTGCATTCCTACGATCTTGGATTATGTCTGGGGAAACCCAGAGAAAGGGTGTGTGAATAGAGAGAGAGAAAGTAACCTCTCTCCCCACTTGGGTATGGAGTCACCCAAAATCATCCCAAGTGCCGACACGCAAGCCAGGAAGGCAATTCAAGTCTCCAGGACATCCAGGGCGCAGACCCTCCTCCCGTGTTCTGGTGCTGGGCAAGGGCCCAGGAGCAGGCTTACCTTGTCCACACTCCAACTTCTGGCACGTGTGGTTGGTGGGCGCTATGAAGTAGCCCCTTGTGCATCTTGTGCAGATGTGCATGTTGTGGCAAAGCTCACAGTTGTCTGGGCAGGGCAGGCAGGTATTCCCTTCAGTGGCATAGTGGCCCTCTGGGCAGCTCTCTCGACACTCTCCCTGGTATAGGAAGTACTCTCGGCCATAGTTGTCTGATCAGTTACAGGGGCAACGAGAAGAGGGATAATGTACCGAGTTAGCCATGAAGCTATTATAATGGAAGATATTATATTTAAAAAAGATGCAACTGAGTGCTTTCGTTCCTAGGGGCTGAGGGGTATAAAGATGGATTTAATGAAAAGTGCGATAACTACATCCTTGTAGTTGAAAAGTTTTCCTTGCAGGGAATTATTTTCCAATATTGTATATATTTCAGTGAATAGCGACTACTATCTGGGATATCATTGCAAAACCATGCTCTGTGAATAACTACAATTCAAAATGTGTTTAACTTTCCCAAGGGCTCCTTTGGTATCTGTGAAATCTCTCAGACTTGCGGGGGGGCGGCTATAGAGATCCCATGAGAATAAACACATGCTTAATGATCGACATGTTTTAGGAAAGTGCAGTCTTTTAAAATGATTTTGAATTGGTATCGATCACATGCTTGCATTAATCATCTAAGGTCTGAATTTCCGCAGAGCTGCCAATGCCCATAATGACAGGCTTATTGAAGCACTAGACCAAGCACACTTCTTTGACTCTTTTACATGCATTCCTGAATGTTCCTGACTTTCTGTCAACATTGGATTCTATAAGGAAAGAACTGGCAGTGCCCACAGCATAACAGACCATGGGAATTTGTTCCTGGTGGGAATGGAGAAGTCTAACCAGTTACAAAGCATCACAACTAATTACAAAGGATTCTAATCAGTTACAAATACAAAAACAACAATAAGGTGAATACTGATGCATCTAGAGGTTTCCTACTCCCACGCTCTTGGAGTTTTTGTGCTGAGTGTGCTCGGGGTATCCATCTTCTCTGAATCAGATTTCCCATATGTCCCTGCCTCTGAAGAGCAGCCGATCTGTGTTACTCAGAATAACCAGGGTCTAGGGTTCATTCATCATGTGATCTACCACATGGATATCCAAAATCATTGACCTTCAAGATGCAAGGCTGCTGAATTTGTGGATAAAGATAACACTAAACCCATGTTGCAAGTGTGGAAACTGAAAGTCATTCTAATGTTAAATTGACTCACATGAAATTGCCAACATGTGACTATTTTTTACCTGTGAGCATGGTACTTTCACATCATTTATCATAATATTTCTTATTTATGCAAAGCCATAGTTGAAATACGTTTTTTTTTTTTTTTTTTTTTTTTTTTTTTTTTTGAGACAGGGTCTCACTCTGTTGCCCAGGCTGGAGTGCAGTGGCATGATCTCAGCTTACTGCAACCTCCTCCTCCTGGGCCCAAGTGATCCTCCCACCTCAGTCTTTCAAGTAGCTAGAACTACAGGTGCATGCCAGCATGCCCAACTGTTTTTTTTTTTTTTTTTGTATGTTTTGTAGAGAGACGGTTTCATCATGTTGCCCAGGCAGGTCTTGAACTCTTGCGCTCAAGTGATCTGCCTGGCTTGGCCTCCCAAAGTTCTGGTTGTGAGCCACCATGCCTGGCCTGAAATGCAATTTTTAAAACATGCTTTTGGATTATGGGCTCTCAAGCTACCTTTTTGGCTGATTATGATTTTATACCTGAAGGCTACCGGTTCCCATAGGACCAAGAAAATAAAAACGGCTTCCACAGAGGTGGTGGAAGAAAATATTCTGCTGTTTCTAAATTAGACATAGAAGAGATTATCCTCTAAGGAAAGAAGAGGGTTTGGAAGGACTAATGTGCATTTGGTGATTCTATAGCTATCGATCAACATTGTGGAGCACAAAACTCTGATCTGGTGGAACCTGGAATCTCTAGAGACCACAAGAAGGTCATCCTTCCAAGTTATGTTCTCAGTCACTTTATGAAACCATAACCAATGCCATTTCCATCCACCATGACTCATTCAGAAAAAAAAATCTTTTTTTCAGAGTTCCCCAATTTCTCTGGGGTAGGTAGGAAGATTTGAGGGAAAGCAGTGAGGAAATCTACCTCTTTTGCATCCCCTACGCCTTCACATGACATCAACTCAGGACCCAGATGCTTAGGGGGACTCTAAGGCTCTAAATATGTATTTGTGGAATGACTGAATGGAGTTAATTCATATTTGGCAATACTCAATTTTTCCCCTATATCCAACTGCATCATCAATCTTGAAAATTAGCAACAATGGGCCCAGATTTAGAAGGAAGTGTTCTTCAATCCCGTTTTTATTGTTTGGACATGGCTTTATTGAGGGGCCTCTTCAGGTGTTATAATTTGGGTTTAAAGAACAGAGATTTGAGGGGGTCTCAGTGTTTAAAATACATAGACCTGCAAAGGGAGGTCACTTAGATGCCTTGGTCATGACCAGCTTTTCCCACAGGTTTGGTCCAGGACTATGTCAAGATTTGGTCAGATTTTGAGTAGCCCTGCTCAATTAGTTATGGATAATAATTTAAATACCATGCATAAATTTTTGACTACTCGCCCAGGGTCTTCAAGTTTAAATTATTACAATAGTATGTAGACGAAGCTATTTCCAGTGGTAGAAGGGCTGATACTTTTGTTAGGCACCGAAAATTTTCCTGGGACAAGAGTTCAAATGGGATAATAGGGGACAAGAGTTTGGATTGGCTTTTGTTTATTCTGGAGAGTGATTCACTTTTACCAGAGCATTTCTTGGCAGCTGATTCTGTTAGGTGAGAAGGTAGACCAGCATGAAGATATTGGATGTCCGTAGGAGAAAAGGAAGGGTGAGGGTTGAAGGCATGAGGTGAAAAGGACTGCTGGAAAGGATAAAAGAAAGGTGCAGGGATCCTGAAAATAAACTTGATGAAGTTGACTACCACATTTTGCTTACTGTAGCTGTTGTGTGATTGATGGAACTCAGCTTTGGGTCCACTTTGGTAGTGAATAAATCTGGAAGAGAATTGGAGTGAATCCTCAGCAATATAGCTGGAGATGTACACTTCCAAAAGGCATCATACCTAAACCTTAGTGAAGTCACAATTAAACAAGGGATACAATCTCTACAAATTGGTGGGAGGGGCTTATGAAGATTGATGGGACCCCCTGGCTGGATGATTTTTAGCCTTTTATTAAAGCTTCCATTTATGGATATGGAACTTCTTCAATTAAATCATCCTTCTTCTTCAGCACTGTCCCATCAAGGTCTCTGCTACATTTGCTTCACTAATGTTCTTAAGAACATCACACTGTTAAGTAGGCAGAACTACCTCAGGGCTTGCTAAACAACAAGCCCTACCTCGAGGAAGCCTTCTCTGCTCATCACAGCTGGAAGCGATGCTGCTTCTCTGATCTGGCGTAGGATTTCTACCATGCATTTGGTCTTCATCTACTATTTTCTTGTTTTGTAATATATGAGGACAAACCTCCTTGTTAGACTGTAACTCCTTGAAGGTGAGTATCTGCTATCATTTATCTCATTTTCTCTGGCATTCAATATACAGTAACTTGTAAATAGAAGGGCTGCAATAAATGCTTAAGATAATGGATTAAGCACAATTTCAAACAGAAAAAAAAAAAAAAAAACCAAAAAAAACCCAGAAGAAATGTCAGCTCATTTGTAGGTAGGTTGGTCCAAGTAACTGTAGGATGCTTAGAAGACTAGACATTTGTTTGGTATCTAAACTTCTTTCTAATTTTGTGCTATATATGGAGATGTGAACGTGATTTTGGATGCCATCTTATCCTTTCTCTTCTTCTTTTTTTTTTTTTGTTACAAATAAGAAGAGGCATAAAGAGGTAAAGTCACTGGTTTAGTACCTTCTCGTCAGTAACAAAGCCGGGACTTGAACCCACATTTTCTGACTGCTGGTCTTAACATTCCTTCCATTGAACCATTCATTCATTCGTTCATTCAGTTACTTATTGTGAAACTTCCATATACCAGACACTGTGATGGTGCTCAAAATACAGCAGAAACGAGTGAGAAACCATGCCATGCTCTTATGGGGCATACAAACGTATGGACCAAATAGACATCAAATGTGTTGAGGCTCGTGAAGGGGGAAGTGCAGCGTTCCCAGGTTGCTCCTGTGAAGGCCTAATCCAGGCAAGGAGGTTAGGGCAGCCCTCACTGAGGAAACGATGTTGAAACTAACATGGAATAGGAAGACATCAGCCAGACAACAAGTGGAAACATCTCAAATAAAGTCTTAAGAGCAAGAGAAACTCAAATGCCCAAAAGAGTAAGCAGCTACAAACAATAACAGTAATGATAATAAAAATAATAATAGTTAATATTCTAAGTGCTCACCATGTGGCTAGCCCTGTTCTAAATGCTTTACTGTTTTATCTCATTTCATGTCATTTAATTTTCATAAAAACTCTTAAAGAAGTAAGCATTATCATCATCTTGTAGATGAGGAAGGAAACAGAATAAGGCAGTCTAGAGGTAAAATATGACAGACATTTGTCTTATTTTGACACATGAAACACAAAGCAATAATTTTAATTTATACACAGAAATGTGTTATCTCCTGATCTCCTGCAAATGCCTGGTACTCCTAATGTGTTCTTCATTTTTCTTGGTTTACTGCAAGGAAGACGAAAGATCAATAATTCTTTTCCACCAGAAAAACGATCTAAGGATGATGATGCTGGTAACTGACAGCCTCAGGATCAGTGAGACAACTGGGAATGGTGGGGACTGGGGAGAGATGGAGAGCAGCCTCTTTTGGACTCCAGGTAATGATTTGGGAAATGCAGGTCTGGTGGTGGATCTTTTGAATTTTCAATAGACATTAAACCCTCAAGTTTTTATCTGCAATGTCCCAGTTTTTAAATTTGGCTCAAATTTAAAAAGTAGTATATACAAAAAAATAAAATATGAATCTGGCCCACATGAGGTCAGTAGGGGACAGGCATATGAGTTGAGGCTGGAAAGGAGTCAAGGGTCAGAATGCAGAGAACCCTTGAGAGCATGAAATAGAATCCAATGGCAGCAGGAAACTTTTAGTGCAGGTAAATCTGGGACTCAAAGGTCACATTTGTAATCATTTGAAATGATGACCTTGCTCTGCTGAGCTCTGGCAACTTCTAAGTGGCATACCTCAGCTCCACGAAGACTCACACACAGCCCCTAATACAATACTTTCCTTAAAGACAGAACGTGTCTGTCTTAATTCCCTAGCTTTTCACTTGTACTTCCACAAATCTTAGCTTCACTGTCTTATCTCATGTCTGACCTCATGCTTGTCTGTCTTTCTCTGGAAAGTCATCTCTTAGCTGCTTTCTCATCTTTTCAAGGGCACCGAATCTACACCCAAATAAGGTGAACAAGCTTTTTGTGTCCTGACAACAAGCAGAAAGTTCAAGGTTGTCCAGGCGCTCCAGTGAACAGCTGTCTGATCTTAACCCTCAACCCCAGACACAAGGCTTTTGGGTCAAACCAAATGATGGCCATCAGGAGAGGAACAGGTTTGGGGTGAGGAAGACGGAGGAGCAGCCGTCCTCTCACCTGCTTCACAGGACGTGCAGTGGGTAGGGCCGCTTCCTTGGCATCTCTGGCAGGTGTGGTGGCATGGATGGCATTGGTTCTCAAATTCAAATTTCTGTGAGGGACAGTTGGAAACACAGCGGCCATCATCAAGAATCCTAGAGGAAAAGCAGACTTTTAGAATTCACCAGGGTGACTTTCCAGAGTGGCCCTAAGTATCAGAACATGTGGTTTTCATGTTTGCTGTACAGATTTGACTTCATTGTTCCAGAAACAAGGGGGATGACTGGGAGTGATCGTCTTAGAACATGTAAAATATTAGTCATGTACCCATCCTTGGCCCAAGATTTGGACCTAACAGCCAGCGTGCCAGAAACTGGCTGGGAAAACAATCCCGAATCTGGTTCCAAACAAGCTAACTGGTGCCCACAGGGATTAAATCCATATTATAGGCCCCAACCAAACCCAGCCAACAGTCAGATGGAGGTTTCTAAACTTTCCATACACTCAGTGGGCCTCTGAGAGAAGCCTTGGAGAAAATATTCTTCCTTTATCTATCAGCATGCTTATGCTTTGCAAGGGAAATGTCAGTTCCAAGGGCTCTTGACTAGTAGAACAAAACACTGCTTTGTAGCTCGGGTGCTACTTAGAAGCCCGGCCTGAGTATGTTGCAAGTAATCAATGAAGTCTGATTTTGAGTGTCTTGTTTTGCAAGCATTTCCTGAGATACGGAGCACTGGAGTCTCTATTTTCTGACCATGAACACTTTCTGTGAACACCTACAAAGGGCATTACTGATGAGTTAGTATATGGGCTTCTAAAACTTTGGTTTTACACATATACAATATATATCCTAATGTCATTGTTAATATTTTTGTAGTTTTGCTTCATTATTCTTTGCAAACTAATCATAAGAACAAATGTGATTAAGTAAATTGTATCCAAGTGTTCTGTTCAGAAAAATACAAAATGTTTATCAAATGCAAGAGTCAGATAGGTAATATGAATAGATGAAATGAGCTGGGGGCTGCACACCCAGAGTTCCTAATTTAGTGGGTCTTAAAGGGAGGCAGCTGAGAATTTGCATTTCTGACATTCCAGATGGTGCCAGTGCTGCTGGTCTGGTGAGCAGTCTTCGAGAGCCGCTGCTCAGTGACAGTCTGGATTACTGTGGAATTCACTAAATGATTCTTGTGTAATACAGGTGACATCAAATTGGCATCTCTTACACTCCCTTAGAATAACAGTTATTGTATCAATTGTGAGGTTCACTGAGCACACGGCATACACGTGCTCCCGTGAGCATAATGCTGCCATCCAGGCCTGGGACATCTGAGTGGGCCTGTGAAGACAGGGAAAGTTGTCCTTTTCTCTCTACTACTCCTCTCCACTGAAGCTGCACCACATGAAAGGTCAGCTGTAGGCCTCAAGCAACTTGTTCCTGTATTGGCACTGGCTTGTTTAATGTTCACTGTTTCCAGAGCTAGAACCAACCCTGAACTGAGGGGTGGGCCATTTCAATCCCAGGTTTAGAGGAAAGTTGGGTGGGGCAAGGCATCCTGAATAGTATGTCACTGCAGTCTTCTATCTCATTCATTCCCACACGCTGAAAGTCTGTGTCATTTGCATCTGTTTGGAGGCAGAATGGGATTCAAGGCAACAACCTGAGACATACGTCCACCTCTGTCTTGTATTCCCAGGCCCTCATGTTCTGTTAACCATCCCCAGCACCACTGAATGAACAATCCTTCTGGCCCTCTGCAAAGCGTGAGTCCCAGTCCTAAACAGACACTCACACGCATCTGGCCGTCCATGTCAAAACAGATCCCCTGCACCATGGCGTAGAATGAGATGCCTGTGCTCCCAGCCCAGATTTTTAGCGGATGGCGCTAATGCCAAAGGGGGAATATCCCAGCCCCAGCCTGGCACCAGTTACTGAGCTAGAAGACTTTTCAAGGAATAGTTTGGATGTGGCTAATTTAATATGAACAAACAAAGAAAACTATAATCTTTCTGTAAGAAAAACTGTGGAAGAGCTTTCTGAGGATTTTAAGCTAGAAAGCTATTCGATGTTCTGCTGAAAAGGAGAATGGGGCAGGTTTATTCTGGGGGTTTATTTTCTTGCTAAAATCAATTGAGAAAGGGATATGAAGTACATCATCATTTTATCTCTTATAGCAGTGGTCCCCAGCCTTTTTGGCAGTAGAGACTGTGATTTGGTTTGGCTGTGTCCCCACCCAAAATCTCATCTTGAATTGTAGTTCTCACAATCTCAAGTCATGGGAGGGACCCAGTGGGATGTAACTGAATCATGGGGGTGGTTATCCTCATGCTGTTCTCGTGATAGTGAGTGAGTTCTCACGAGATCTCATGGTTTTATAAGGGGATTTTTCCCCTTTGCTCAGCACTTCTACTTCCTGCCACCCTGTGAAGAAGGAGCCTTTCTTCCCCTTCACCTACTGTCACAATTGTAAGATTTCTGAGACCTTCCCAGCCATGCAGAACTATGAGCCAATTAAACCTCTTTTCTTTATAAATTACCCAGTCTCAGGTATTTCTTCATAGCAGCATGAGAACAATCTAGTACAGACCAGTTTCATGGAAGGCAATTTTTCTACAAATGGGGATGTAGAGGATGGTTTTGGGATGATTCAAGTGCATTATATTTATTTTGCCCTTCATTTCTATTATTATTACATTGTGATATATAATGAAATAATTATGCAACTCACCATAATGTAGAATCAGTGGGAGCCCTGAGCTTGTTTTCCTGCAACTAGATGGTCTCATCTAGGGAATGATGGGAGGCAGTGACAGATCATCAGGCATTAGAGTCTCATAATGAGTGAACAATATGGTTCACACTCCTGTGAGAATCTAATGCTGCTGCTGATGTGACAGGAGGTTGAGCTCAGGTGGTAATGTGAGCAATGGGGAGTGGCTATAAATACAGACAAGGCTTCACTTGCTCACCTGCTGCTCACCTGCTGCTGTGCAGCCCAGCTCCTAATAGGCCATGAACCAATACCAGTTCATGGCCTGGAGTTTGGGGACCCATGTTTCATAAGATGAGATGACAGATTGGCTTGGGGGGAAATCATTTGTTTTGGGAGAAGTGATCTCTGATTAATGGGAACCACTAAAAACCACTCAGAAATAGGAGAAGAAGCAGAAATAGAACCCTTCCATGTTTACATAGGGAAGGGGCTGTCTTTTTGACTTGATTTTAGGAACATATCAATCACATAATCATGCTTGAAACCATTCCTTCCATGTCCACCCTAACAAAAGCATAGGCGACATCTCCAGTTTTTGTAAGAGGATGATTATTTCTAAAGATAGAAAGATAGGGAAGACAGTTATGCTTAAGTGAAGGCACTGAATTATGCCACCACGACCCACCCCACATTCTCCAAACTCCCCCCAAAATATTGCTAAGAAACTTGAAGAAAAATCCCATTCCAAATGGCCACAGTTTTCAACAGACACTAACAAATTTTCCGTAGTAGAAGAGAATAGATATTTTGCTCTGTAAAAGTAGAAAATGGGGCTGATGAAAATTTTCCTTAAAGCCAACTCAAGGCATCTCTGGGACCACCAGGCATCCAATTCATGGATTCCTGAGATGCCCAGGCAAGCTCATCTCTGCAGGGGAAGAGCTTCTCTCCCCAGCTCATGCCAGCTCTTGACCTTTTCATAGGAAGTGAACCATTCCAGACCCAACAGGCCTGAAAGAAAGGGAGAATGCAGTGGAACCAAGTGCTCAACAGCTGGGCAGAGATGATCTTAACATTGGCGCTGAGTATTCCAGAAGGCCCCAGGATGTGTGTGTGACATGAACTGCAATGAAAGAGTTGGCATGTCAGGGTTAGCTTGTCCTCTTTGCTGATTGTTGACTTGGCCTAATTAAAGTCATTACAATGGCACTTAGTGTACTTTCTTGGTGCTTTAATATTCTAAAAGAATGAAATCTAGTAGGAAGATTTTTTTGTCTGAATTCATAGAAATAGATCAAATAAAATGTTTGAGCACGGGTCAGGGCGGAGATAACTTTGAAATGTTTTTAATTAGTTCACTGACTCTGTAACTCCTTCAGGGCTGGGCAGGGAAATTAGTCTGGGCAGTGAGACCCCAGCATCACAGAGCTTTGCATGTTAAATACAGTGGCAAAGAGGGCGCTTGGTTTCTCCAGGTTTTTAATTGTCTTTAAGGAGCTAAACCCAGTGGTTTATAAAATTGTAAAGGAAGGGTGGTGGCTGCCTTATTAAACAAATGTTCAAATATTCTCCGGGTTCAAAAGACATGCACACATGCATTGGAATTTGATTCTTGGTATGGTGGGGAATTGGAGAAAAAAACAGAACCTCATTTTGAGAATGCTATCTGTATCTTAGAGTAAGTCCTGAGGCTTCTTTAAGGCAAATTCAATATTTAGAGGCATAGTTATTTTAAAGAGACACTTGGAAAAATATGCTCATGGTTAGCATTAAAAATTCTTGAAACTGTTCCTTTGTGTCTTCTTCAGTCCTTTCTCCTTCCTTCTTTCCTGTTTTCCTTCTCTTATTCATTCTTTCCTTTCTTCCTTCCTCTTTCTGAGGGAGCTATTTGGAGAGCCAAACCTATGATATTGATTACATACTTCATCAAGTTCAATAAAACACATTTATTGAATTGTTATGTGTTGATCACTATGGGGCATAAAGGAACAAACACATCACAGCACCTGCTTGCAAGAATATACAGTCCTGCAGAAGCAGGACAAAATGACCATTATGCAAAGCAGAGGGCATGTCCATCCCAGAGATGCAAAGTGCCTGCCACTGGAGCAGCCTCATCACCCTTGCCTGCAAGAGACCTGCTTCCTTTGCATTGGGAAGGGCAGTGATGAGGCCATTCAGTGAAACACTCAGCAGCCAACAAATATTCAGTGCTAGGCTCAGAGGAGCATTGAATGAAAATACAACAGGCCTCCAGCTTTCTTTATTAGAAATTCCCAGTGTATTAGCAAAGATGCTTATTCCATTTACATACTTGCTACCTCATTAACTCAGTTAGCAAACATCACTGAGTGTCTACTATTATCCCAGAACTGTGGTAGGTACTAGAGATCAAAGATGAGTATCTCAAGTGGCTTACAGTCTGATGAAGAAATAGCTTTGTAAATGAAAACCTTCAAAGGCTACAGGTGCTCTTATGGAAGCTTATAGAGAGCAAAGAGATATAAAAATGGTTAATTTTTGCTGGGAAGAGATTAATTTTACTGAGAAGAGGTCAGAAATGCCTTTAAGAACAGTTTACCCCTTGTAATCCCAGCACTCTGGGAGGCCGAGGCGGGTGGATCACCTGAGGTCAGGAGGTCAAGACCAGCCTGGCCAACATGGTGAAACCCGTATCTACTACAAATACAAAAATTAGCCAGGCGTGGTGGCGGGTGCCTAATCCCAGCTACTAGGGAGGCTGAGACAGGAGAATTGCTTGAACCCAGGAGTTGGAGGTTGCAGTGAGCAGAGATAGTGCCACTGCATTCCAACTTGGGTGACAGAGCGAGACTCTATCTCAGGGGGAAAAAAAAAAAAAAAGAACAGTTCACTTTTGAACTGACTCTAGAAATAAGTAGACACTTGACCAGCAGATGGAAATGATGATTGAGGAATGGGTGTGCACAAAAGGATGAGATTTCAGGCATCAAAAGTGGCATCAAAGGCACCCTATTCATTGGTGAGGAAATCTGTTCCATGTCCAGGGAACTGGTCCCTGTGATGGGGACTGGGCGTCATGGGGAGAGGATACTACAGAGCTGGGCTGTGCCCAGACCAAGGAGAATATCTGTGGAGTGGGAAGGAGTTTGGTTCTTTCTCACTGCAGACCCATGGGGTGCTGCTAAGGTGGTAAGCACCTCCTCTCTCCACCCTGCAATCCATGAGCTCACACCACAGGGAGATCCTGAGAAGCCACTTACCTTGTCATGGGGCAGGTAGTGCAGTCTTCCTGGGTTGGTCCCCGGCACTTGGCACATGAGGCCTCACAGGTCTGGCAGTGGCCATGGTCATCAACGTATTCTCCTGGGGAACAAAATCTAGTTGTTTACTTCATTTCTACATGGCAAGGCTGCCTGGGCTGTCAGTCTGAGAGCAGCCAAATCTCTGTGGCTGCCTGAAAGCAATGCAGACAACACAGAGAGGAGAGGCCTTGAATGGCTTCAGCTGCTAGTCCCAAATCCTGATCTTATCATAACAATGGTTCCTCTCCTGGGGGCCCCAGAAGTTGGAACCTCAAAAAGTTATGAGGCAATGACATATTTCTGAATCTAGTCAACATGTGTTACAGATTTTATAAGTAGGGAAGGCCAAGCGGGGCTTCCCACCAGACCCCTTTACTGAACTCCTACTGACTTTCCCATTAAAAGCTGAGGTCTCCTGGTCCACAGAGGGCCCTATAGTTTTGGTTCAAGTCAAGCAATGAGCAGGACTCACCCAGATCTTGTCTTACCACCCCATGGGGTAGAGGTGCGGGAATCGTGGTTACTGGTCAAGAATGGGTGCTGAGTCTTGGCTGACATTGGGCAATTGTAAGCTACATCTCACTCGGAAAGAGTAATAGTGAAGAAATAGCCAGGGAATTCTTCCTTTAATTGGAAACTTTATCTTTCCCAAGGGAAAACACATATGGGGCCCTGCAACAGAAGCAAATCCAGCCTCACAAGTTTCTTGGAAACATTTTAAGAAATTACTCCCACAGTAAAGGTGGCAAAGGGGGGGCCAGTCTCATGGAAAGTAAATCTCATGGATTTAAAGATGGGCCTCTACTCACTGAATCCAACCCTCATTGCACTCATCCTAACCTGCTATTGTCTTTAAAAAAAATTGACAGGCTTCTTTGGTCAGATCCACAGAGCCACTTTTTCTGGTTTAGAAACTGGTCATGCCCAGAAAATATGGTTTCAGATTTTGGCAGAGACACAACCTCCACTGGACCTCAACCCCCTCCAACTCTGACAGCCCCCATAAGCCATGTCTGAACACTGTCAATCTGAGATCCAGCTGGTGGGGTGAGATAGCAGGACCCGCCCAGGGTTTAATCAAGTTGTCTCACTGAAACGCCAAGACTCATTGCCTGATTTAGCACAGTTGCATTGAAAAGAGTCCTGGAAACCCAGACTTGACTGGTGAGGAAATGAGGGAAATTCATCCTTCTTTCTCCCCTCCCCCCGCCCCATCGCTTCATTGGACTGGTACAGCTAGCATGTAAGTAAATCTTATATATGTAAATTTTACACTTGCTAGCACTAAACCCCAAAGATGAATGTGAAGAGACAACTAGAGTTTCCCTTTATGTAGCAGAAAAAGCCTTTCATGTAGAGTTATTCTATTCATTTTGTTAAATGAAGGGAAAAGTGCATGTTCAAAGTGATGCAAACATGTAATCACAGCACAACCTGCACACCCCGGGCTCTGTTCCTCTATATCTCCTCGTTGTTACCAAGGTACAATTTGGACTGGGAAACTTACATACAATTTTTAGAATGCAAATGGGACTGGGACTGTAATTCTTACTTCAGGACTGAGTAGGAAACCTCCCAGGAGACCTAGGCCCAAAAGAGTGCATAACTAGCAGGGGCAAAGAATACAGGTATGCAGGTTGTTCACTGCATAAGGTGCCTACCCACCCAAATGGTCCCGTGGAGGCTGACATCCAGCCCGTTTGTTTCACCATGCCAGGCACTCTGGTGTAGGCTGCCTCTGCCTCTGCAGAGGGACACCTTTTATTAACTCACACAAAGGCGTTGACTGGACTGGTTACATTCTTGGTAACCAGTAGTCCCAAGACAGCAAAAAGCTGTGACCTCCATCTAGCAGGAGTGGTGATTTCAAGCTGAGACTGTGTCACTTACTACAGGCATCATCATAGTTATGCAGCCTTCTTTATATTTATCCAGGCTCCTCCACTTCACCTCTTATTTATGGCTTCCACTATTGTTGTAGGAGGCACAATCAATTGAGCAGGGTGATTATCAGTCCAGGTACCAGCAAAATTAAGAGCAGAGGACCCAGGGCAGGCTTGGTGGGAAGAAGTAGACCTTGCCTACAGGGGCCAGTGCAAACACTTTGTGTTTACAGTTAGATGATATCTATGTATCTTTCAAAAAAATATGCTGAGTGGAACAAGAATGGAGGAGGTTCATAGAAGCTTAAAACCCCACAAAAATTGTATTCTAGAGAAATAAGGACTCTTAGAGAGCACAACTTATCTGTTCATTCATTTTATGGATGTATTTTTTAACACTACATACATGCCAGCAACTAAGGGAGATGTAGAGAGGTACAAATTAAAAAGACCCTGCTCGTGGGTTCTCAAAGATTTTATGAGAATGATTTATAAAGAGATAGTTATAACCCAATTACTAGCCAAGGGACTTCTACTTCCTCAGGCCAGATTAAAAACCAAAACAGAAGGTGTACACAGGACTCTGCTAGACCCAGAGGCAAAGACAATTACTTTGCCTTGACATCGGTGCCTATAGGAATGGACACAGTGGTTTGGTTCTTCCACCACCTCATATTCATCTACCCTCATTTCCATGACGTATCAGATCCAATGCTAGGATAGGATTTTAAACTAAAACACCTTGCTCTGCTAAGTCAAATGCTACTTAGAAGGTTCTGAAAGTTATATCATGTCTGTGCCCAAAGTTTTTATCACGCAGATGAGGCATCCTTAGGTTAGTTGAGGGTTATTAAGATATAACAGTGAAAATTTTGAATTTATCTCCTGTATCTCTTGTTTGCCTTCTCATTGGCTTCCATAAACCAGTAGGTGGCTTTAATACCGTGGCTTTGCATGTCCTCAATCTACTCAACTATAGTGGCCTCTGTTGGCACTCACAATGTGCTGCCTTAGATATAATGACCACAAAAGATTACCCCATCTCCAAGATTTTAAATACATCCTCCAAGCACAGGTTCTTATGTCCCACTATGAGTCTACATCATCCCAGGTGACTCCCTATCACTTCGTGATTATCCCTTCATTCATCTCTTCCAAACTCCACCTTGCCTCCCCCACTTGGGGTAGGCCAAGCCACCCCAAAACCCAAGTTCCACCCATTCTTCTGCAAAAGGAGACATCACCTCCTCATTTGCAATAAGATGTCTGAGTTCCCTTGGCTTTTTTTTTTTCTCAATGTCAAAAGTCATCTCTGTTTCCTCCTTGGCTTTTTACTTAGCTTCTGTCTCCAAGAAAGGTCTGCCTCTCTTCCTGGCTATTGTCAATTCCCCATCTACTGTTATAATCTTCTTTCCTCAGGATATTTCTCCACCAGTTCCTCTGCCTTTAATCTCTTCCTCACAACTCCCATCCTTGTCTGATCTACAAAAGTTTTCTGCTAACCTAAAACCTTCCCCAGCCCTTTCCCCACCCTGATAAGGTACTCGTAAAACTTGTTTTTTCCTCCTACTATTTGGAAACAAAATGGTGAAAACTTCATGACCTTGAAGCTTATGTAAGAGAGTCAGTGTAAGACAGCTAAACTGTGCACGTCTCTCAAGTCTGCATGCCTCTTCACGTTAGAACAGCTGAGGAGAATAGAGGAAGCTTCTCCCATGCTCATATTTATGTAGATGTTCAAGTAGTTACATAAACAACTGCCCCCAGCTCTTACAGGCACAAGTTTTCACTGCATGTTTGGAACTGAAGAAACCAGGTTCCAAGGACACAGAGCTTTTTTTTTTTTTTTTTTTTTTTGGTTGTTGGAGCAGCAAATTCTTGTCATCTGTCTTCATTGCACAATGAAGCTGAATGTTTATGACAGGCATGATATACAAAATTCTTACAAAAAGTCGCTTTTAACAGAGCCTTCAGGGGCCAGTATTTTGTTTTCCACCTCATCCTACAAGCTCTTCTTTCTGGCATCTTCATCTGTTGTTATGATTTCCAGATCATTTTTCTCCTGTGATCAAAAATGTTCCATTCCCCCTTTAGTTCCTTTCTCATCCTATGCTATAATGGTTCAAAGGACATTGAGAAAGTGTAGTCACTTGGAGAGGAATGCTACCTTAAAAGTTGAAGACCCAGCTTAAAAATTAATACTTATAAATTTTAAAAAGTTACGAGTGGCTTACTGTGCTTATTCCATCTCTTGATAACACTGTAGAATACTGTCAACAAGTCCAGATTCTAAGGAAACGTTATAAAGTCTTCCAGAATAACTGAACGTGTATCACAACACCCACAGTTACAAAATATGATTGAAGTAATCATTTTTAAGGTTTACATGGCCAGAAGAGCCTCATTTCTCCTGAACAAATGCTATGCTTTCTTTTATACCTCATATTTCTTTATTGATTACAGCTAACTTAGAGAATTCTAGCAAATAAATATGTCCACTGAATAAACTAATCAACACATAAATCTGATAGTTTATGATGCGAGTTTAAAAACTTTTAGCAAGATGATTAGTAAGAGAGGGTGGGAGGAATTTGATGAGAATTCAGCTGCTTGGTTTTTGATCTGGTTATTTCAGTGAGTAACCTTGGGGTATGAAATTATCTGTAGACCTCCCTGTGAGGCCTATTTATGTGCCTTGTCACTCAGATGCCAGAAATCATAGAGTATGAGTGATTCTACAATCACAAGTGTTAATCAAATAATACTATCTCTTTGCAAGGATGCCAACATATAGTTTCCAACTTAAGATACCATTCTGTGAAGATAATTTTTATTTAAAACATCTATGTTTTTTTCACCAGCTACAATAAATATGCAGCAACACTTTCAGCTACTTATGTACTAATGAAATAAGTTGGTTTTCAAAGCCTTGTTAAGCATGAAGTTTTATAGCAACACTCAGACTATGAGGCCATCAACTGAGACTGCAGCATCTTTAAGTCAACACAATCATTTGACCTTAAAAAGGACGGAAATTCCGACAAACTCTATAACATGGATGAACCTTGAAGACCCTATGCTAAGTGAAATAAGCCAGTCACAAAAGCACAAATATTGTATTATTTCACTTAGGTGAGGTATCTAGAGTAGTAAAAGTGATAGAGACAAAGTAGAATTG